ATTTCTTATCTTACTTGTGATTCTTACTACAAACTTGACTCACCTTGCCGTTCCTGGTTTAACCATCCTTACAATTCTTTGTAAAGAATATAAATTTAAGAAGTTCGGCATCATATAAAGTTTGTATTCATTATTAGTTCATCCTTCTTATTACATAAGAAACATGTCCAATATTTGTTATTCTCTTTAGTTTCGCACACATTCAAAACAAGTCGCGGGATTAGAATTAAAGAATTTTGGTCGGAAAACAAGAGACATATAGACGTAAATGAAAGGATAATATTAGAAGCATCTTAGATAATTTGTCTATAAAAGTGTGGATTTGCTAAGGTTGTAGAAACAGAATATACATCAATGTTTCCTTTTCCATTTGCGTATGTTTGGGCTGAGAATTCCGTTTAGGTCTGGGCTGTAAACTTTTGTGACTCCTTTTCAAAATTCCAGCTTTGTTACTACACACAATTGGCACACATCGTAGAACCAGTATAAGATCTGACGGTATTCTTTATATAAACTTATTTACAAGTAAAAGAGAACCAAAGCAACTCCGTTCTTCAGAACGTTGAATTTTAGTTCACATGCTTGACGGTGAAAAGCTATGGTTCTCATTCTCCCAAGGACATACAAGAGGTCACATTATTTATCTAAATTTGGTGTGACATGCAAGTAACTGAATAATGGTTACGTTATAAAGAGCCTCCGTTAATCGAGACGAATTTTCACACCCATCAGACCATGCAGCATTATCTCATCTCCATCTTCCCATTGTGCTAATCCTTCACGCTAGATGCTTGTCGTGTGCGCTCAACATTACTTCTCCATTCATCTCACAAAACTCTGACGTCAAGCTTGTAATATACCACGGGATATTGCGTCATAACATTTTAGATCTGCTGTAAGATACCATTACTTCTCCCCTACTTAAGGGTTGCTTCATCTTATGTAGATTCAAATGAAGGTCCATGAGGGTTAAACTCACTTAGGTACCAGACTTAAAACAATAAGCTGCAGGATTTATGGGTAAACTACGCAGTAATCAATAATGCAATAACGTTGGAACACAATGTCTATTGTGTAGAAGTAAGAAATTTGAGTCAGTTCAAGCTATAAAAAAATATTAAAATGTTACCATAGCTGGTACATGAAACATACATCTAACAACAAAACAACTTGGTAGTCCTTAAATCTCGTTTACAGTTTCATAAAAGCCGTTAGATGGTGTGGGGTCGCCCAGAGCAGTCCAGAGAATTATTTACGTGGCCAAGAAAATCCCCATTGAACGTAGAGGTCCAGTGATCATTTCTCTTGTTTCGTATTCGTGAGGTCCAGGGCTTAAATCTCAGGCTCTGTGATTCTGCATGGAATCAATGTTGTGTGAATTAAATTAGAACGGCAACAGATAGCTCAAATTTAATTTATTCTTACATTATTTAATGAGACTTTTCAACTGCAGGGGTTATGTGGTGCTTGGTAAAAATGGTAAAGTCACACGTAACTAAGTCCTTCTTACCAACCATACCGAACGTCGTGGTCGAGTGGTCAGTACTCCAGATCGGCTAACCTGACTGACTTTTCGTGGTTTTACTCTGTCCTTCCAGATAATTTCCGTAAATTAGGCCACAACCGCTCCCCCTGTATCCTTTACAATTCAGTACCCATTAATCATCCTATCATCCGATGCTGTTTTGCCTCAGCTACTGACAATGCTGTTAAATAAACCACGAACGAGAGTACTTACCGAACAACAGAGATACAGCTTCATACAAGATCGAACTCATGGTGGTATAATCTTGGTGAATGGCGAATGCAATTTATTCAAGGTGCGGGGTTGCTGATGGGATAAATGATGAGGACGCACAGTAGATCATTATTGATCGCAGGGTATAGGCAGTTGGACGCCCACCGCTTTCCGGTCTGTTCTATTCCATTCTGTCATGTATGGTATGTAGATAAGGATTTGGAGCTAGTACATTGTAGATTAACTACCTGTATGGAGTAGAGTCCTTCTCAGGTAGTCAAGAAATTGCTCGTCTTTAATAGAACCCTGAGGTTCACAAAACCCCACATTTTTATACTATTTTAGTAGACAATTACGACGTCCTATTGGAGAGACTGAGGAGAACCACAACAAATCCAAGCCAAAATTGCAGATACCCCATCGAAATTTTATCCGGATACCCTTCAAATATAAATCTAGAGGGTTACCTCTATAAGAATTTGATCGATAGCCCAATCTGGCATTAATGCCTTCTTTTGTAGGAAATTATAAAATAAACTTTTAAAAGGAATCTCGTACTGGTATGTCAGCACATCCACACATGTCGTTAAGGATAGTTCATATTTAATTAAATATTATAAAATTTTGTTTTCTAAATAACTGAATTTAGTAATTTGTTCAGTGCTTATTCTGGCACTGAACAAATTACGAAATTCAAATATTTAGAAAATAGAATACACAATGGCACAATGACAACCATTTCGCCGTACGAAGACAACTAGGACTGTGTTAAGAATACGTAACATAACATCGAAGGCAGTACTCAGGTGAGAGGTTTAAAGTGAACACCGTTTGAAAGCAACTCAGACGAAGTGCTAAGGCCATTGCTGGGATTTACAGAATTGGTTTTCCAATTGAATACAGGTACAAGGGAGAGATTGCAAGTAAGAAATTTAGTGAGACACATCTGTGGTTATAAAGAAAACTATAAAAACATGTAGAATGAACGCAGAGGAACGTACTACCAAACTTAGCACTGAACTATACGCTCGTTGCGAAAGAAATAGAGGTCGTCTCAGAAAGAGATGGAAAGACAACTTCTTGCCTGAGAAGTGATGGAAGAGGCCCTACAAGAACAAGATGGCAAAACCAGAACAAGAGCACATGGCTCTGTGTAGTGTAGCTTTTGTAATAATTATGTTATGCACAAAAACTCGTTTGTACGAATACATGCAATAACACCAGGGTCGACGAGGCATGAATAATTACAAAGAAGGCAGCTGAAGAACATGTGTACTCCAAACTGGAGCAAATCGGAGTACGTAGCAGTAGGACCAACCTCGACACCTCGCTTATGAATAAGTAGGCCTGCATGTTGAAACGACCGTGTGGATTAGGAGTTTACACTCTACTGTGGTAGCGGTGCCTGGTTATGTGTGGGGCAGAAACGTAACTGCTTTGACAGAACATGCAATTCTAACAACCTTGACCAGTGAGGTGTGCAATTAGAGGCGCAAGGTTGAAGAGAAGAGTAAGAAGTTGAACATTTTCCAGGCGTGGTCTTCATATGAATTGTGGCTCCGGTCTTGTTTAATTTGTCAGCTGCCGCTATCCTCTCGTATTAACCCGTGGTTAAGACATCAAGACCTTGGTCATAGAAAGGACAAGAAGGTCCGTCATTTTCAGTTAATTTAGATGACCTCTAAACTCCTTTAACAAAGATGAGTTAGTTAACTGATTAACAAAGTTTCTGGTGTAACGTGTAAATTAGAGTACCCATTCATACTCTTGTTTCTGTGTGTTCAAATTCATACGAACATTTTTACTTCTCTGTGGCGTAAAACCGTAGGACATCCTTGTCTCTTTATGTCATAACTTCCAGAACAAGAGAGAAAGTGTACGCCTTCCGTGATGACATGAAATCTCTCTCAGTACGTAATTAACTTACGCTTCATTGCAACATAATTTATTGTTACATACACAGAAAACTGCCGCTTCTCACAACACATTGTTTCCAACGTAATTTTAAGGTATATTTATGTAACCGGAAGTTTTATATACTGTTTTAAATAGGATTTAAACTTCACCCGCCACCTTCTTTATAATTTCTGAGCCTGGCTTATCGCCATCTCTCTCTGACATCGAAAACCGCTGTTTTGTTCAGTTATCGTTCTTAATAACATTGTCACTCAGTGGAGTGAGCACGTGGAAGCAGTGAGAGCCTGATGCTTGTCTAGATCAATTGTACTTTGTAGTCTCATAATTAGTGTTATTGCATACATGAGGAATCTTGCACAAGGCAGAGCAACAGCTCTTAGTGGGGATAATTTAATGCTTTAATTCCTTAGTGGCTTATTTAACTACGTTTCTTCATCAGAATACATAGAATATCGCAATAAAGGGATATATGTATGTTCAGGACAAAATTAAGAGAAAATTCACGCCTTTGATTTTCAGTGTCTTGTATCTTTCGGTGTTTTGTGTAAAACGTAAATATTAAAATGTACTAATCTATAATTTTAGATGTGTCATTATAACGAGCAACTGCATAGATTCAGGTTGGTTGTGCTGAGAAGGTTATTTGGATCTGGGAGTCAGGAAATGATAGAAAATTGCATAGTGAGGAGCGTTATAATCTGTTCTGTTCACCTGAGGGCTAGCAAGTTTCAATTAGTCAAATATGTAAATTATATAGTTTGCAATGGTACAGGATTCTGGATTTTTAATTGGGAATGAATACAGTGAGATATTTTAAAGTATTAATTAATTATTTTCATGAAGTAAGCGATATAAAATCTGTCTTTATAGCAGGTTTCGTAGCCGACATTCAAACCTGACATTTCTTAAATATGAGTGCTAATCAGTACAGCACGTTTTCTCTGAAGAACTGACCCCATTGAGAAGAATCTTACTTGAGAAGCTAATAGTTGCTAAGATTGTCAAAATGATCCTCGCAGTTTGTGAAATCCGAGTGTTTAATACCCCATAAAAAGCCCAGCACTGGTTCGTATCCTGAGCCAGATGAACACAGACCACGCCCCTATGTCCTACTTCTTTAAGATTCATTTTAATGGACTGATATGCTCGCGACTTTAAGAGTCAGTAAGAGATTGCGGTTTCGCAGGTCTTCATGGGTTATTTAAAGGTGCGGGTCATTTAGGCCTAATTCACGTTTTCAATTTTAGACAAAAATTTGATTGTATGTTTGTTATGTGTGTAATAAGAGGTCATCAAATTCGAGAGAATTCTAGAAGAGAGTTTTATTAGCGACTGGATAACTTACCGTGCAAGAAGTAACACAGTAACACCAAACTCTTGTTCATCCTGGCTGTCTGATTATTGGTTGGTTGATGTCACTCTGGGTCAGCTCATTCTCAAGTTAAGACTGCTTGCTGATGCTTCCTTAACACTGCTGCTTGCTGCTCCTGCAACGATGAGAGGAAAAATGAAAGACATCCTTGTTAAGACTGTAGTGACTGAACAGGCTACAATCTCACACCATAACATCCCGTCATGTGAAAATTACGCCGAAGCGATTATGTAATATCAAAGGAATTTTTACTTACTACCGTTTTATCGTATTTAGGATTTATTATTATATTTTTCACAAGGGCAATTATGAATGCTTTATAAACCGTGCTTTCTTCTTCTTTGTATCTAATACCCCGTCCTTGTCTGCATGATCCCTAATTTTCTGTGGCCTTCAAAGGTGCCACAGTATCATACATCTTCTAAGCTCTGTGAATAATGCGAAAAAATAGCCAGCGTATATAAATAAATTTATTTTAATTGCGTGTCAAGTTTATTTTTCCTCATTGTAAGAACAGGGAAGTGGAGGACAGAGGAAGTTATATAACGTAAACCTACAATGCTCATTCCCCTCCTATTCGAGCAGTTACGCCTATACGTCTGACTTGTATTTGAGAATTACGTAGTTCGAGGCTCGGTGAGGGCATTAGCTAGTCTTACTGAAGTTTTTGTGGTTTCCCTCGGTCCCTGCAGCCGAATTCCAACCTACAATGCTTGAATATTCCACGATTATCTGCTTTCTTCCGAATCCTTTCCAATTAATCACAAATGTCGTCTCATTTTATTCGACGGTTAGTAACCTTTAAAGCTGATACAGTGTCGTAAAAGAAGAATACGTAACAATTAAAGAATACATGTGTTTATGATAGTGTTGTAGGAGCAGTCTGTTCAGGTATGGGATGGGGTGTAGAGCAAATGAATTTGAAGCACGTAGTAGTGCGAATGTAACATTTGAAGGGAAATGCATTGGAAAATGACAGGCTGGAAGACAGAGGTGAAATGGTAAGGCAATATTAAAACAGACTGAAACCATTTCAATGCTAGTTACAAAATATTTATTTAAGAAACATATACGGAAATGCAGATACTTTTGTGGCAATATTAAAAGAATACATCGTTAAGTTTTTTGTTAATACGGTCGACATCGAAACGCTCAGGGAAACTGGGTTTAAGCGATTCAGGATTACGTACAACCCTTAGGTTGTAATTCTTGAGAGTTGCTATAAACAAAGTACAATTGTACTGCTCGTAACATAACTTGGATTTCTGAAAGGCCCATAATTTATATATGACAAGTGTTTTGTGTTATAATCATCGTACCTTAACTGTTCTGCTCAGAATAACATTGCTTACTTGCGTGATCAACTCTTGAGTCGTTCATGCGGATTCAGAGCCCTCAGGTAATTTAATGTTATAACAGTGTAAATAGTTAAACATGAGTTTTAAAAATGTTTTTTTCTTGTTTCCTACTATCAGAAAGTTAATATATCCAATAAACACATCCCATTATTTCCCTTAAAATAATTTAGACTGAAGACATTGGACTCAGCGTACGGAATCTACACATGACATCCTTATCACAGGACTATACACGCATCGAGTAATACTATTTGAATTTATGATATAAAAACAAAACAATTCATATGCGTGTCTGTTAGGTATAAAAATAAAATCCTGCTTAAAGAACCCTGAAAATGCAGTTGCATGTCGCCAGGCTGTGTAGCATGAAGAGACCGATTCATTTTAATTATGTGGAAACGTTAGAGTCTCTCTTTTTATCACAGGCACAATGTGAACGTGACGTCACGCAAAATGTCTCCCATGTCGTGTCACGAAACACTTGTTAGTCGAGAAGCTGCCCGTTTTCCTTTCTCTGTCACCTACAAAGGTATGACATAATTTATGAAACAGCCTGTTTTATCACGTTCGAGTATTAAAATTGGGCAGATCTGAAACAGCCATGTGCTTACTAAGCAATTTTATTGGTTTTAATAGCACTTAACTCGCCAACACTTCATTTAAAATTTTCTCATCGCTGATATGTCCCAAGGAAAGTAAACCGAAACGAAGTCAAAGGGGAAATTAATATTATAAAATACAACTTTTATGATTTATACAGCGGTGTTGTATTAACAAGATAGTGAAATCAGGGGCGTTTCGATGGGATGGACATGTAGCTCTTTACATGAAATTCTGTTCATTATAATTTCTAACATTCTGTGTTCTTATGTTATATTTTAATACTGTCCAGTCTCTCCAAGCTAATTCACATTTACCGTTTCGAAACTAGAGATTGTAAACTCAATAAGAGGAATTAAACTCCCCTGCGAACGACTTGGGTTGTCTAGTTTTTAACTTTTTGGTTTTTTTGTTAAAAGTAGATCGCTTTGATTTTACAGGTAGTTAGGTGTGGACGAAATGTTGCACCTAATGGATAGGCATACCACATATCTGCACGTCTCGCCGCGTTGCATGAGCAGCAAGCTTTTCCATGTTTGCTGGAGTAATAAAAAGACTGGCAAACTTTCCATCAGCCGAAATTACGTGATCTTTGTAATTTCATTTCTTAAATAATACGACGTTCCATTCTTTTCCTAGTTGCATTGCGATGTTGTAAACAATAATGTCAAATGAGAGGAATACTTTCTGTTATTGTATTAGCATTATCGTACAAGTGAACATCGTGTTATATTCTGATTGGCGTATGGTTAATGAGGCAGTGAATCTTGTTTGGAGCTTGGAGCATGAACAGCTAACAGTTTCCATGTATCCTATTAATTTGATGTTGGACATTATCACAGAATAAAGCAAGGCATTATGCAGCGGTTGTAGTGTTGTGGTTATTTTCGGAAACGAAGATGATCTCGTGTTCATTCGAGAGCTGTGGTTATACACGATAAAATATTCAACATTGGCTTCGCAAGTGACTGAGTAGTTGGTGCCACTGACTGCTGCTATTTCTAAAGGAATGTTGTTCGTGATGTCCTTTAATATTAAAATGACGGTTACCTGATGTCTGCTTCAGAAATTATATTAATTCAGTCAATCAGTCCCATTTAATCGTCATGTTCGATTTAATTTTAAATAAAACGCCATTCAAAATAGAAGTACTTGAAATATTCGGTTCCCATTAAATGAACTACAGTTGAGTGACTGCTGATTCTGTGCTACGAGATCATCCTTCAGCAGTGCAGTTATTCAGTTAGCCATCAAGAGTTACCCTTATTTTATGAAAGCCCTAGGTTCCTTATAGTGTTCAGGAAATCCCACCATTACATTCTGACCTAAACAGCTTGAATTTAATCTACACCTTCATATGTTATAAGATCATTTTTACATTATTGTCCAATGTCGCCTAGTCAAAGAATAGTTTTAAAATTTCAGAGAATATTAATAAAATATTCAAATGGAAACTGCTGAAATATGTAAGTACACGTATTCATACAATAGGGACTTCATTTTTTAAAAAAAGTATATCACTAAATTATTACCGTATTTGTGAAGAAGATTATGACCAGTTCTGTCAAATACTTTTAGTATTGAAATCTAGTACTTTCGTATCTAAAGCGTGACGGGATAAATAATTTATGTACATAGTACATGTTTCCTGTATTGATATCTGATGTGTCTAGTATAAAGTTCTGAACAATACCTTTATACAATACAGAAGCAGTGGCATGTGCGAAATCAAAACTGGGCTGTAAAATATCGTGTTGGCGGTGCAGACACACAATTAAATTACTTCCACTGCTATGTACAGCCGGCTGGCTTGCCCCCCTTACATTCACATTTAAATTTATCAATTTATATTTCTAATAATAAAATCGACTCGTTCCCAGTCGCTTCATTATACGTACCCTGCTACTTTCAAGAAGGGACACTTATGTAGGAAATCACAGGCCGTGTGACATAAAATTTGTATAAATAATATTAATAAAACTAAATAATAAATGTAAATACAATAATAACATGTTACGTAGTCTTATAATAAGAAATATATAATTTAAAATGGGGCCCATATAATAAGTTTTAGTTTGGTATGTAGCCAGACAGTAGCCTATAAATCGTGTCTTAAAGAAAAATTCCTGTTAGCGTGATTAATTGTTCCTAATGAAATATTTGTTATTTGTTCAGAAAATAGTAAGAAGTCTATAATGTACTCTGTGTGCAAAACGAAATTATTGATTTTTAAATCTGGTGGTGCATCCAGTTACCGCTGGGTTTTACAAGGTTGGCCTCTTAACGGATACGTGGAAAATCGGTGCACTGCAGAAAAAAACACTGAATTTTTATTTAAGTTTAATTTTGGTTTTAACACCGAACAGATGCGACGTATCAAATCTTTCTTTTGTTTTCCTATGACGCTTCTTAGTCATGTTAGCCACTTTACAGATTAAGTGTTTCGAGTCCGAGAAGTCCCCTTTGTGTGACGTTGTACCTTTATTCTCAGAATCATTCTTTTGTCCTCTGACGATATAGTGCACACATTTAGGTCATTCTGTATAACATTTGCATATGTTAGGTCTACACACGATATGAACATAGGACACTCATATGAAGAAGCAATGATGCTATCTCTAGTTTTATTACATATGCAAATTTGGAATGCAGACTATGTACAGTGTAAATCAGGTTTCAGAAAAAAAGAGTGTTGTTACGTTTCTGCTAGAAGTTGTATTGTTTCCGACAAACTATTCGATTTAAATGTAAATGAATTAGTATCTTGAAGTGTTTTTAATAGATGTTACTTTATTAACTTTAACTCTTTTGACTTCTTAAAGCTTTCTGTGAACTGATAGGGCACAGTCATGTATACGAATATAATTCAACGCATCTGTTATTAAGTGCTTAATACGTGCGATGGTGATTATGAATAGTGAACTGGGGATATATTGGAACAACATTCTCCTGGAATGACTGAGGGAAACGTCGAAAAAAGCCCCTGACAATAGCAGTTGCGTCTTTCGCAGTCTTTTAAAACGATATTATCTATATCTATAACAACTAGCAATCCTGCTCCGCATTCGTGGGGTTCTGTGAGTGATTGTCTGCCCGGAGATACGCTATTCCGACTGATGTTTTTAATATTTTTCTCAGTTACATTAGTTAGATTGTG